CATTTATTTATTTATTTTATTGCAATTGTGTCTCTTAAATTTGTCTCCTTTTATTTTAGTGCAAGAAGTTTATTTTTCTTTTTCATCACCTTTAATGCAACAAGGTCTATTCCAATGATGTAAGAAAGTTGGGAAAAATTTTTCAAGATTATTTTGGTTATACTTTCTTCAAAAACTATTAGTTCTGTTTAATTCTTTTTTGGACTTGATTCCACAATCGACTCATTTTGGATGCAATCTTGTACCATAACATCCTTAAGGAAGTTGGAAAAGTTGTCATATACTTATTATCCTTGTATTTATTATGTTGTAGAAGGATAAAATGCGTGAGAATGGTTATGTACTCAAAATTATCATAAAACTTCGTTTATCTATTAGATATTTTAATTCTAATATGTACTAAATTTATGAAATTGGTTTGATTATTAAATGAAATGTATGAGAATGGTGATGTATGGATTTTGATTATAAAATCTCTATCAATGTTAATTGGAAAGCATACTTTTTTTTATTGGAAAACATGTTGATATTAAGTGAAAAATAAATTTTTTTTTTGGGCGGGTACCCTATGACCCACCCTTTTTTTTCGGGTACTCGAATAGCGGGTATCCAAAAATATTAGGAGCGGGTTAGGGTCACAAAATGGCTGATCCGATTTTTTAGGGTCGGGTCAGCCAAATCTTGTTAGGGACGGGGTACCCGATCCGTGCCCACCCCTACCTCCAACGTATGAGCAAGGTGCCAATCATTAAATTAATAATTTTTTTGATTCATACATAATTAAGTTTTTTTTCCCATTTCCACAAAAAACAAATGAAAATTTTTTATCAGAAACCACAAATGCCAAGATGATTGGTCTAAAAGGGAAAGGAATACCATATATGTATAGTACTTGCATTTCACGTTCGAAATGCTACAGTGCTGCTTTTGAAAAACACCCTAAAAAACATCTAATTCAAACAGATGCAATCTTCTTTATTTAAAGGAAAAATCGTTCAAAATGTCCATCGCATTTTACAAGATGATTTTTTTCGTCCCTCACTTCTAAAAGTATAATTTTACGTCGCTTACAAATTCACAGTGACCAAATTTGGTCCCTACCTAGCTTTTCGATTACTTTTTCCCGGAATCCACCACGTGACTTGCATGTGATCATTTTTTAAGGGCAAAATTATCAAATCAAATTTTATATAATCTGATTCATAGTCCCTCACATTTCACAAAATGATTTTTTTCGTCCCTAACATTTTACAAAATGAGTTGCTTCGTTTCTCACATTTCAAAAAATTAATTTTTCCATCCCTCGTATTTTTTAAAATGAATTTTTTCATCCCTCATCATGTATACGAATAGCTTTTTTTCTATGAATCCACGTATATGTCTATTGGATTTTATCTGAACAGTATAAATAACATTTAATTTATCTCTATTGGATTTCATCTAAACATGCTAATCATAGTTATACACATATTATTCAATAGATATATATAGGGGTTTTAAACAAATAATTTTGTTTAAAACCTATGTATATATTTATATGAATTCACCATTTGAACCTATTCAATATTTGTAACATTTCTCTTTTGGTAATAATCTGTTTATTGAGTTGTATGATAAGATCATCTAATTAATTGGCCCTAAATTGAATTGTATAATTGTGCTAACAAATTTCAATCTGAAATTTCCACTCGAGACACTTTTAAGACCAACAGTTGAATTACTTTTCTTGTGATTGTGTTAAAATTTGAAAATGCCAATCACTTATTTCTTTTTGTCATGCTTTGCTTTTGTTTACTTTTTCTATACAAATTTAATTCGATATAAATACTTGATAATATTTAGGATTAAATATCTTCTTTATATTCAAATTTCGAGTAAAAGAAAATGAATATAAGTGAAAAACTAACAATTTTTTTAACTCATGTATACGTCCATTTGATTTCACCCACACAATACAAATAGCGTGTGATATATCTCTATTTGATTTTACATGCTATTCGTACTGTTCAAGTGAAATTAAATAAATATATACACGGATTTCAAAAAAATTATTCACACACATAATCAATAAAATATGAAACAATTCATTTTAAAAAATGTGAAAGACAAAAAATTTTATTTTATGAAATGTGAGGAATTATGACTCGAATTATATAAAATTTGCTTTGACAAATTTTATATAAAACATGATCACGTATATGGCACGTGGTCAATCCCGATAAAAAACTAGCCGAAAATTTAAGTAAGGACCAAATTTAATCAATGTAAATTTGTAAGAAACGTAAAATTACATTTTTAAAAGCGAGGGATGAAAAAAGTTATTTTGCAAAATGTGAGAGACGTTTTGAACAATTTTCCCTTATTTAAAATACCAAATCTGTGAATGTGTTTTAACTGTTATCCATTGGTATCGTAAAGTATCATTTTTCCATCAAATACCAGCTCTTTAACAACCATATTTTCATAAATAAATTTGTTTATCGGATAAAATAAAATTATACCCATTTTCCAATAAATAGCTATTTCCAATAAATAACTGTTGTTTTATTGAAAATGGGTTTATTTTTTATTTTATCCAATAAATAAATTTGTTTATGGAAAAATGGGTACTCTGTTCTTATAAGAAAAGCCATAAAGAAGTGGCATTGTATGGGAAAATGGGTACTCTGTTCTTCTAATAGAGGAAAACCATAAAGAACTGGTGTTTTATTGAAAAATGAATTTATTTTTATTTTATCCGATAAATAAATTTATTTATGGGAAAATATGTGTTAAAGAGCTGGTATTTGATGAAAAATGATATTTTACGAAACCAATGGATAACAGTTAAAATGCATTCATAGATTTCGTATTTTAAATAATGAAGACTGTGATTTAAAATACCAAATCTGTGAATGTGTTTTAACTGTTATCCAATGGTATCGTAAAATATCATTTTTTATCAAATAGCAGCTCTTTAACACCCCTTTTTTCATAAACAAATTTGTTTCTCGGATAAAATTTTAATATACTTGTTTTCCAATAAAACACCAGATCTTTATGGCTTTCGTCTATTATAAGAACAGAGTGCCCATTTTTTCTTAGAACACCAACTCTTTATGGCTTTCTTCTATTATAAGAACAGAGTACCAATTTTTCTATAAACAAATTTATTTATCGAATAAAATAGAAATAAACCTGTTTTTCAATAAAAACACCAGCTATTTCTTGGAAATAGCTATTTATTGGAAAATGGGTATATTTTAATTGTAAGGATCGAAAACAACCTAAGAGGGGGGTGAATTAGGTTTTCAAAAAATCAGCTAAGATATAGGTCACTTTTCTTCAAAGCCTACCTTTCTTTTCTCAAAGACCATCCAATGGATCAGATTACAAGACAGCATAGGTATTCGTAAGATAAGAGGAGAACAGTTTATATAGAAAAGCTGTAAACGAAAATAGAGAAACAAACCAGGCTTCAAACTCAACTGGAGTTCGAACAGCACTAATATATACCAGGTTACTTCAAGTTGAACAAACTTGCAACCAATATCCTGTGTACAAGGGAATGATCACTTCCTTTTTGCCCCAAACCTCACTTGGTCAAGCAAGGAAGTTTTACAAACACTCGAAAACCCTGACAATGCTACACTATTGAAGAAGCTGTGTCACACTTGAAAAACTACAAGAAAATTGCACAAGCTAAGAATACAAATGTTCCTTTTGGAGTATTTTAACACTTGAATCACTCACGATCTGATGTAGACTTGATGTGCAAAGTTCTCCTGAGGTGGTTGATTTTGTTCTTTTTATAGGAGACCAGAAAATTCTTCAATTAATGCTGTCAACGGGTAGAAGGCAACTGAAGAGTCAACTAGCCGTTGGTGCTGTCGGACGTCCGATATTTAGTTTTTATGCATCCGAACGAGATCAATGAGTTCTGGAAGTTTTCTTGAATCTCTTAGGACGTCCGATCCCTTATCACCATGCGTCCGAGGGTAAGATGCATACTTGAAATTTCCTCTTCAATTCCTTCGGACGGCCGATGCGTCCAGAATGTTGCTTCCGAAGTGCAGCAACGCTTGTCGGATGTCCGATACTCAGGTGTTGAGCGTCCGATCGTGATCAGTAATCGTAGAAGCCCTGGCTTGTCTTCTTCGGATGTCCGAGTCTGAATTCTTCACACGTCCGAAGATATTCAAAGGATGTCGGACGTCCGATACTCTCCTTTTGTGCGTCCGACATCTTCCTCAGCACTCTTCATCCTTTTTGATCTTCTTTTTTGCTTTAAGTCCACAGACCTGTTTAGTGTCATTTCTGAAAAGGGTCTCTACAAAAAGTATTAGTAACATCCATTTGTTTTGTAATCATCAAAAGATATGAATTGAGATAAACAATCTCCCCCTTTTTGATGATGACAAAACATTTGGATAGAGCAAAAATATACGAACTGGGATACGAACTGGGATATAACAACTTCCCCTAACGAAGTGCATGAGTATACAGGAAGAAACGCAATCTACACCATCAGTGCTAATCCAACGCAACTCCCTCTGAAACTGACTCCCCCTAACTAGTTACTCTACACCATCAGTGCTAATCCAATTCTCTCCCTTTTTGTCATCACAAAATTGAGTATCAGTTTTGGTACTAGCAGTATCAGATAATATCAGTACGATCCATCAGAAACATTAACAATAACACGCAATTTGATCAGATAATATCAGCAAAATCCATTCATGTTCAGCACAATTTGGAATCAACAGAAACATTCATAACAAACACATTCATTCAGCAAATTCCATAACACACAACCATTCATAACAAATATTCATAACAAACACTTAGTTATAACATCCATAAACAGTAGAAAATATCCAGTTGTATAGACCAGGTGTACAACACTTAGTACAAAAGTGCAATGCAAAAGATGAACTATAGACCTAGATTAAGGTGTAGTGACCTAGTAGTGCCTAGATGGTGATTTTAGATGATCCAGGCCTCCTCCTGACCAGACGAACCTATTCAGGGTCCTCTTCTTCCTCAGTTTCTTCATCATCATCTTCATATGCTTCCTCAATTGCTGGAGCTTTGCCTTTATCCTTGGGCTGAGAACTGGAAGCTGGTGTGGTCTCAGTACCAGTGGTTGGCCCTGTGGACTCAGGTCTTGGCTCTTTCCCATGAACATTTGCATTGTTTTCAGGTATTGGAGGGACAAGAAGATTTCTTTTTTCAATGAAAGAGGATTGTTGGGCAGGGGTCATGGTCATCATGAGACCATCTTCAATGAGTAAGACATGCTGTTTGAGATCTTCAAGCAAGGAGATGACTTCAGAATTGGATGCGAAAGACTTGCTGGCAGACTTTCTAGGATGAATGGTAAAGGGAGAGACACAGTCTGACTGATCACGAGGAGTCCTAGGAGTGGCAGGGGTTTCATGAAAGTTTTTCCTTCTAGACTCAGCCACAGTCTACTTATAGCACCAATGGCCATCAAAAAATTTTAAATTCTTTCGTTCAAAGTAAGCTTTTGAGAAAACTGATGAAGCACTGTCTTTGAGAGATTTTCCAGAAAAAGATATTTCAAAATGGGCAAAGATAGGGGTCAGAAATCTACCATAAGAGAGCTTCCTACGACTGTCAGTGCTAATTTTGAGCAGAAACTTGCACATTACAAATCCAAAGTCAATGCGGATTTTTTCAACAAAGTAGTAGAAAAGATAGAGTTCCATTTTGTTTGCATCTGTTCTGTGGCCATCAGTTGGCACCAACAGATTCGAAATGATGGTGAAGATGATCAGATTCTGAGGACTGAGATCATCCAATCTTGCCTCAGTAGGAGTATTGAAGTGGGTTTGAAAATAGGTCATAAGTTTAGCATTGTAAAAATGATGGTAGGCAGAAGGAAATTCCTCATACGAAAAGAAATTTGCAATTTTTCCTTTGAAACCAGATTCAATACTAATTTTCAGAATGGAATTCACAATGTCAGGAGTTAACGTGATGTCTACAGAATTGACCCTAGAGATGAGTTCAGTGTGTGATTTACCATTCCTAAGGTTAGCTGTAGACACCAAAATTTTTATTTTTGTTTTTGTTTTTATTTTTTTGTTCTAATTTATTTTAATTATTAGCTATTTTTACTTATCAATCTCAGCATTTATTTCAGATATTTCTTTAGCGTTTTGGATACCAAATTTCTCTTAATTTTTGCTTTATTCGATATATCATCATTTTTAATTTTTTAGCATTATAAAAAAAAAAGAGCAAAGCCACGCGCGCGTCACGCGGACCAAGCATTCCAAACTGCATTTCAGAAATATGATACGCCATCCAGCTCCCATGGGATTTCCTCCATTTCTTCCTATTGTTTTCTTCACCGTTTGATCATTTCCTTCATCCCACCTGGCTTTCATCCGCAATCAAGGATGATAAAAATTTCAATCGGATGGCCACGGCAAATACAGTGAAATGAGGTTTATGAGGGCCCTTGATATCAGGTTTTTGAGGGTCGGCCATCTGATATAAAAGAAAAGGGATGCGGCTAGGTTTTCGGGGGAGCTGAGAGGGGGTTGACGGCTGGACAAAAAGAAAAGAATGGGGCTAAAAAAAAAAGGACGGCCAGGGGGTTTCCTTTTGGGAGAGGAGAGCAGACGACTAGGGTATTAGGAGAGAGCTATGAGAGAGGTTTTATGACGGCTGGAGTTTGAAGGGATGGTCGGGACAGCTTTGAGAGAAACCGAGAGAGGGCTAGAGGAAAAGGGAGTTAGCAAAAGAGAGATAGCTGGAGGAAACAAACGAAAGGAAAGAGCTTCAAGAGGAGGAGATTTTTTTTTAACGGCTGGAGAGGAGGTGAGGTCTGATGAGAGTGGCGGCCAGAATAAAGGCAGTAGAGGAGCCCTTAGACGATCTTCATCAGAAATCCGGAACTTCGAAATCTGCATCCGGACGCAATCTTGTCAACCAACTCCCTATCCAGTAGACTTCGCAAGACGTCAAAGGTAATCTCTTTTGCCTTCTACTTCTCATACAAGCCTAGATCTTCTCTGAATATGCCAAAGATCTTGCTGCTGTTTGTTATGAACGTACTTTGCTGTTTTGATTCTTATGGCAGCCGAATCGGTTGAGTTTTGTTGAAAATCTATTGTTTAATCTTGTCCTGAGGAAATAAAATCTGATGGTTAATGTTTTGGTGAAATTGTTGCTCCAAGTTGTTTGTTTGATCTGATATGCCGCAGATTTGAAAAACCAGAAAATTGTAAGGCTTCATGAACAAATCTGGTTTTTGCTAGCTTTTTCTCCCACTTAGATTTTCCTCTTGTTTGCACGCTTAGTATTGAACCTTGATGAGGTAATTGGGGGTCTTTCTATAGTTTTTTCCTGACGAATCTATGAGGTTTGCTTGAGTCATAGTTTGGTACATGTGTGCATGAAAGTCTGTTACAACAGGTTTGAAGTTCTGACTTTGTTACGGCAATTTTGGAACAAAAAGTCAATCTTTTGGGCTGCTGAGGTTTTTCCAGAATAGCTTGAATTGTCTCTTGGGTTTTGTTTGTGATTTGATGGTATCCCATGTATGTGCTTGCTGCCATTCCATGTAGCAAGGTGCGGAATACCATTGGACTGCAACAAGTAGCTATAAAAACTATACAGCCGTGACTTTTCTTTTGCTTGTTCAAGTTTTGCTTTGTTGGTGTTTGGTTGCTATGATAGTGGGCTGAGGGCACGTACCTCTGCTGCATTTTTTTATTTGGGTGCCGCATTTGTGAATCTAATGAAGCGAGGTAGAGACAAGTGCATATTTTAGGTGCTGTGGTTGGCCAGTTGTTGCTGTTTTTTTCGTTTTTTGTTGAATGTTCAGTGCACCTTTGAGTTCTTGTGTGTTGAATACTATAATGAAAAGGAAAACTTGTTGTGTTAGAAGCTGACCATCAGTGAATAAGCCTGCTGTGTTTAGAAGTTTAGACATTAGAAGAATGCAAATGCAGGCACGCAGTTTCCTTTTGCTTGCAAAGCGGAGAAGAAAAATGAATAAAGGGGAGAAGTTTTGAGCTATGCATCTTGTGTTTTCTGGTTTTGTTTGCTTTGGTTAAGAGCAATGCATGTTAAATTGGACTAGATTTGGGTTCTGTCAATTGCACACTTTTGCTATTTTTTGTTGCTTTCATTTCATTTCCTCCTGTTTGTGGTTTTGTCCAAAAAGCTGCATTTCATCCTCATGATTTGCTGCTTTCCTTTTTGCCGCAACAGCCCACCAAAAAACTGGTTTTAGTCATCTAGTTTACTAATTAAGCTTTGTGCCTAAATGATCAATGATGAAGTTACACTCTTTAATCCGAAACTATGAATGTTTTGGTGTGTATGCCGCGTGGGTTGAAGCTGCCAGTTTTGTAGCAAGGAAAAACATTTGCAGAAAGCTTCGAATGAACGTTGCATAAGAAAGTTTCTACGTAACATGCATGCAAAAGGATTCAGAAATTGCATTTCAACCCCTTATTTTTTGGTTAATGCTACAAAGGCCCAATAATGTTCTAATTTCTTGCAATAAAGTCCTAGAGTAATTGCAATTTGAACCATTACTTGACTCTTTCTTTGCTCTTGGACCCTTGGTGTTCCCAAAATGCTTCAATTGGACTTGAATGATTGGTTAATATTTGTAATTGGGTCCTTGGTAGTTTTTCTATTTTAGAAATTTGATCAATAATTTTACTTTCCTGGAAATTATGCATTATTTGATTTCATTTAAATTGCAATTGGGAGGGATTTGGTAATTTTGTTTATACTTTACTATTTAATTGGTGGCTTGACCCTTTTATTGTTTTGAAACTATTTTTCCTTCACTTGATTACCATTGCAAGGGAGGTACACTCTATCCCTTATTTTCACTTTATTTGACCCTATGTGTCTATGTGATTTATGTGCTAAATTGCATGCCTTTTGAATGTCTATGTGATTTATTTCTTTTATCCACTTTATTTGTTTTAGTTTTATATAGTTATTTTCAATTTCGATCATTTGAAAGGCACTTGAATGCCAAAGTTGTAATAGCTAGGTTATTATTTTATTTTATTCCGTTTCCCCTTTTAGATTGTAGTAGGCTTCCCCAAATATAATAGTTAGGGCTTTATTTGCTTTATTTACCTTATGTGTGTTTTGCATGTCTATGTGCTACGTGTTACTTGCTTTGTTAGGGCCTTGCATCTAGATACCATGCTTATGTGTTATGTGCTATATGTGATTTATGTGTTTATTTGTTTTATTAGGCTTTACATGATTTTATTTGATTGTAATGAATGTGTGACGTTACCACACTAGTCCAACGCTAGTCGTGGCCCCCCTTTCCCGTCACCACACTAGTCCAACGCTAGTTGTGGCCCTTCATTCCGATTTTCCACTAGTCCAATACTAGTAGGAATTCATAGATATGGGCTAGTCCAATGCTAGACCCTTAGGGACCTCCCTCGCTAGATCATATTTGTATGATTACACTACACTTCATGCATATTTTCCATTTTTTAGGATCTTTACCATTTTCACATAATATTTCCCCCTAATAAAATATCCCTTACCCCTATGTATATATAACATTTAGATTTGCATCTCATTTAGGAAATTAGGGGGTAGATAGTGCATTTTTGCCTGATTAGACTAGGAAAAACCTCTCGAATATGGGATATGGACGAGTTTGGCTTTTCTAGCCTTAGCACGCTCGTATTCCCTCTATTAAAGGGAACATTGAAAGTCACGAGTATAAGTCCCCCGCACCCATTATGATGCATTCCTTTAGATCATACACATTTGTATATTATTTTTCTTTACTTTTTCTTTCTTTTGAGTCTCATGACTTGCATTATTCGTGACTTCTTCGAAGAGTCTTTATTGGGCGTCACAATTAATGTGATTGGTACCAAATAAGTTTTGAAGATACATTTCGACCCCGATACCCTTTTTAGGTCTAGGTTTTGCATTCATATAGTACATCCAAATGTGATAAATCTTTAGGTTAAAAATAGGAAAATCTTTGAATAAATCGCGCAACTAGCCTTGGCTAGGTTGAAAGGGTGCCTTGGATGCCTATCCTTGCCTTCCCTTTCTTCAAATGTGACTCCCGAATCTTTTTATTTGATTTTCGTAGACTTGGAGTCGATTAAAAAGGGTTTTTTCTACTTTTTCTTTAAAAATTCATTTTTTAGGTAACTTGGTACACCTTAACTCTATACCAAGTGGCGACTCCATTTTTCATTAAAACCCTTTTTTTAACTATATTTTGGGTCAAATCGTCGCATTTTCAAGTCCCATTTAGACCCATGTTTTTTCATTTTTCTTTGTAAATCAAAAGTTCACTTTTCAAACCATTTCTTTATTTTCTAAAAAATTCGTTTTCCAATCAAAAATTGAACCAAAAGCCATTTTTTCTAAACACGTCTTTTATTCATTTTTCTTTATTTTAAAAAAAATGGGGCGCGACAGC